CATAATCCTTTTTTGCTCTACTAAGACCTCCGCTATTGTAGTAGCTTCTTGATGGAGCATGGGATATGCTTCGGGGCACTTTGTAAAATAATCCATGACAAGTAAAATGTATTTGTTGCCACTTGAAGATCAAAGTAAAGGACCTAAGATATCTAGTGCGATTTGCTGAAATGGCGCTCCCACATTATAGCGATGCAATCTTCCACGAATACGTTTCTTCTGTCCCTTCCGAGCTGCACAGTCATCACAAGATCGGCACCATTTCTCTACATTGTGTCTTGACTTGCTAGACTAGAAGCTCTCACGAACCATCATTAGAGTCTTCATTACCCCAAAGCGGCCCCCGGTTTAACTACCATGCAGTTCTTTCGAGATATCTGCAATTCTTGATTTTGGAAGAATAAGCAGCCATTTCAAGTCCCGTTCGGCATCAGATTCCCATTTTCTGTATAACACGTCATTTCTAGTACAGAGTGAGTTCCAAAGAGCCCAATACTGTTTAGTAACTCCATTGTAGGTGGAAACGTCTTGCCAACTTGGTTTTATATTTGAAGATTCCTTCGTTGCAAAAATAAGTTTTATATCAAGATCTTCCAATTGTGCCTATCTTTCTCCTTCATCACTCCATGGATCAGGTTTCGATGTCGTTGAAACATGTGCTTGAAACCTGTCGTTAGAACCAAAAAATTCTGTGCTTTGCTAAGTTACTTAGCAAAGCGCAGAATTTTTTGGCTGAAATTTCTTCTCAATTCTGGAGCAATATCGCCAGCTTTCATTGCAGGACTTCCTCAATAATGCGTCGGCAATTTCTGATCGTTTTGCGTTCTCTCGAACTGTGGATATCTTGTAAGATACTTTCCAACAGTTTTTTCAGGTTAGCGCTTGAATCTGTGGCTGAAACTGCTCTGACGGAGTGGCGGCTTTTCCGTGAGGCTTGCTGAGCTACCTCAATCTCATGTGCGGAGACGAGAGCTGATCTTATGTCATTCACATTGGCCAGTCTAAGAGCCTTTTGCATCTTTAGATCCCGCACAATGTCTATGAAATATTGGAGAGCTAAATCTTGACGTACTTTAGGAGAACAGCCTGAAAATGCAAGATGTGACAATTGTTGAATATAAGCTGTCAATTCTTCGAGACTTATACAGCTGCTCGTTGATAGCGGGACTTCAGTTGTAGTCGGCTGAGTTCTCTAAAGCATTTTTTCGCAAAATCGCAGCTTCAATGCATTTGAAAGGGTTTCAAAATCATGGCGCTGCTCTTCAGTGAGTGTTCCCAAGAAGTCGGTAGCATCTCCTCGTTAAGTAGCAGCGAGATGGAAATCCTTGGTATTCGAGTCCCATCCGTTAGCTTCAGCTACAATGGAGTATTGAGTTTTGTATACTTTCCAAGATGATTTCCCCACAAATGTAGAAGGTTTGAAAACAGCTGGAGATGTTGAAAGTATTAATTTATTTTCTAAAGTAATTGGCTTGGATTCTAGTGTTTTTTTAGGCGTTTCATTTTCAAATCCAGTTTTTTTTTTAAATCAAAATCTTCCTCATTTTTATCCATTCTTTCTTCTACTGAATTCATTCCATTTTCCACAACTTTTAACTTCTCCTGAAGAATTTCCTTTTTACTGGATATTTCTCTTTTAATTTCTTTCTGGTTGGCGTCCAACTCGGCTTCCACCTTCTCTTGACTCATCTGTTCTTGGCTGATTTTCATCTGTCTTCTGGAGCATATCCACCAGTTTATCCGCAGCCATTTTTCTTGTAACTAGCAATCATTTCCACTCCGATTCTGGCACCAAACATTACCGAGAATAGGGTTTTGTGTTAATTGGAGATGAATGAAACAGCCGCACAGGTTTCACAATCTCAGATGGAGCAATAAACTTTCCAGAGACTCGCAGATCAGAATAGTATTGCAGACACAAACAGACTAATACTCTACAACTACTCTCTGTGAGGCACAATCCTATTTATATAGGCTTGGTGACGAAACCCCGGAACTTTCGATATGATTCTAAACAATTCTCGTTTAACGCCTTAAATATTAGTCCCATCTCTTCGAAACTCGAATCTTCCCGTCGCTAAGTTGGCAAAAATGTTGCCAAACCGAGTTTTCCATGAGAAATGCATAAAGCGTTATTTATCTCTAAATTACGTTAGAATTACGCTATTTTTTCTCAAATTTTCTAATTAAACTGCATATTGAGATCCATTTGAGATATGTAGCCCAATAACGAAAGAATATTTACAAACTTTTACGCACATTAGAGTATATTAACTTTCTCGCTGCGTAATTTTTTTTTTTTTTAAATAGATTCAAATATTGCATATTTCGAATCAACTTTTAAATTAGGGTTAAAATAATCGTAATTTTTTTTTTCTGTCAAAGAGTTTAGATCATAAAAACAAATGCTGTTGGAAAAGGAAATTGATAAAACGCATATATTAATACGTGATAATTAAATTAATAACAGATTAAATTTGAACGACATTAAATTTTTTTCGTATAATTTTTAAATTCCTTACATTTTCAAAATTTGCTATACACATGTTAGATTAAGCTGAATTTTTACTATAATAATCACTGTCTGATTACGTTGGGATCGCAGACAAATACGGTTTTATGAAGCTGACGCGGCAGATTTACTCAATAAATTTTGCTCGCAGGCATTTTTCATGCATAAAATCGCCAGCTATTTGTCGAATTTCTTTTTATTGTAAATTCCACTTTTCCATGATTCATATAACGTACATAGCGAGTTTCATCGGCTACTGTTAATCAGAACTGATTCAATGTGGGTCTAAACAGAGTAACTTTAATTATAACCACCATGTATGTACCACTTGCTAAAAATTTATATTGCTGCGTAAGAATATTTGCAAGCAAAGTATATATTATTTAAGACTTGCAAAAATCTTATCTCTAGCCGTGAATGTTGAATCTGTTGCAAGAAGCTAGTTTTATATTGAGATCTTCAATAAAGGGACGTAGTGGATTTAAGGCTTTTTTGAACCCAATTCAGAAGACTAGGACTTTTGAATCAAGGACTTTTGAATCAAGTATCAAAACAAGCTTTACTTCGGGTTTGTTCCTGTTGAAAAAAAAATAATCCTTATTTATTTTTTTAAAAGCAGAGAACCGAAAGTTTCTTAGTTAAGTTTCTGAAAATATGTGCGTGAGTGTTAAAAAATGTCTTTTACATTTTTTTTTTAAATATTTTTCTTTTTTTTTGTAAATAATATTTGTTTGAGTGTATAAAAAAATTGTAGTTTTCATAAACCTTTGTTTGATATAAAGAAGAACAACTTCAATTATAAGTAGAGGAACGTAGGGTAAGACTTGGTTGGCTAAAATTTGAAGGCCTGCGGAGCTACAATCGTCTCGGGGACCGGGTTTGTTGAGGGGACGACCAAAATTTCTTACAAAGAAATATAGTGTTTATCTTTGTTCAGAATGGGATGCAGTTATCTTCTTCCTCCGCTGCACTACAGTTTTCGTGGTCCCAGCATAGACACACATCAAGGTGGGGATCGTGTAGTATCGGTTCTTATCCCGAGAGCTGAGATTCATGAAGCATAACAAAATTGTACTACTATTGAACTAAATCTATATTGTTTGATAGGTTATGAATCTTTAATAAACGCATATTCAGATGGAATAAAAATAATTGTGTTACTGTACTGACCAAAAAGTAAGATTGGTCTAAACACTAAGGAACATTAGATAGTTGACATAGTAAAATAAAACTTTTTGGAATCTGTGGGGGTGGTAAATTAATATTTAGGTAATAAAAAAATGCTTTCGAAATTCGTCGAGTGAGGAAGGTGAATAAAAATCATCAAAACCAGTTTAATTGTCTGATGAAACTTGGAGGTATTTCTAATAACCGCCGTTTTCTCCGAGAAGTAAAACATATTTTGATATTTTCAATTCCGCTTTACTCAGTTGGAATTTGTTAAATTTCGATAGCGTTTTTTTTCCTTGCTTAAATGTTAATTTGTGCCTCCGAATGTGTATACTTATTTTATGTTACTTCACTTTTGATAAAGATTTTAACAATAAACATTAAGAGTTGCCATTAGAGTACACCCTGATTGCAAAATATATAAATATTTTAGCATTTTAAAGATTTTAATGCATATTTACTGATAAGATTCATGTTTTTTAATTTATTTTCTCTAATTTTTCGGTAATTCGTGATTAAAAGTAATCAAAGTAAACATAGAATTCAGCTGTTATTTTTGAAAGTGGAATAAGTCCATTTTGAGTTAAAAATGCGTTAATAATCATGGTTGCATATTGATGCTTCATCCAGTTATAGTATTAAAATTATCAACCAAATTGATTAACCTTTGCAAATATTTTTAATGCATTCAAGCATTAAGACTCGGATTTGAAGTACTTGCCAAATGTGCTTAAACCACTTTCAAAAATAATATTACAATTATCGATTTAACCCTTTGACACTGACGGGACAGCAGTGTCCTTTTTTTTATATTTTTCTCTGACGCTCTAATTACAAACAAAAATATCTTTTGTTACTTTTTTATTTTAAAAACTGTCTAATAGTTGCTGAAAATTTTTTTTTTAGAATATCGGAATTATATTTAAAATATTAAATCCAAAATATTAAATCCAAAATAAAGTAGTTTGATTTTTTTTTTATTTAAGTTCAAAAATTCATTAATAATTGATTTCATAAGTTTAAAAAATTTCAACGATAAATAACTGTTTTCTTAGATCCAAATAAGTGCAAATTTGAAAAATTATTTTGAAGGGAGCCGTGTTTGGAAGATTTTACTTTAATGCAGAAAAAGACACCGGTGTTTCATGCTGTATTTCATAACCATAAAATATTAAAATGCTAAATATAATATTTTTTTCTTATTTTGACCTAAATTAATACAAAATAATGAAAATATGAAACATTCTACGTCAGAGGTTTTACTCAAACATTTATTTCTGGTGCTCGAAAATACAAATAACGTTTCTACACTCTAAGATTATCAGAGTATATTATTTTGTTATCAAGAACTGATTTCTAGAACAGATGTGAAATCTCATGAAATTACTAAAACTTACGATAAATCGGGACATTTTTTAAATTTACTGATAGGAATTACTTGAATCCCAGATCTCTTCAAGTAAGCATTGATTTTATCTTCTATATCAAATAATTTTTAGTTTTATTTGATGGATTTAAAAAAAAAATCTGTCACAATGTTTATTTCGTTAATTCCCACGTTTTTAAACATATTTTTATTCATGCCAAAACAAGAACTTTATTTTGTCAGTGATTATTCCGTGAACATAAGCGACCGGCAAAGTTAGAGTTTCAGTGAATCTGATAAAGCATATTTATTTATTGGAAGTGACATCAGAATCTTTTAACGAATTATTTTGGATGAAATATTCTACTTAGTTATAATTCGTTATAATAATTCATTAATAATTATAATTCGTATCCTTAATGGAAAAAAATCACACATTAATCAGAATTTTAATGCAACAAAATTAAATTTATGTGTTTAAAATAGTTTCAAGTTTAAAGCTATAAGGAAAAAAAATATTTTTTTTTTACAAAATTTACTATGCTTTTTGATTATTTTCTTTTTTTTTAATAACCGTATGTCAACATTAGAGAAATACCAGCAAAATCGCACACATACATTTTTTTTCCGTTCGCTCAAAAGAAGATGATAAATATAAATGCTAGAAAATAATGAGCCCCCTGCAACATTCTAAATGTTTCACAGTTTAGTAACTCTAAATGAGCCTACAAATATTAAAAAAAAATTATGCTTGAAAATAATGATCCTGCACCATTGTAAATATGTGGATATTTAATAATGACGCAACACCATTTTATTTACTTAACACTTGAAAGACTGAACGTTGCTGTATACCTAGAAAGGCTGAAGGGGCTAGTTTGGCGCCTTCCAGACTGTTTGCGTGTAGATCAATTAGATATCCAAAATCTTAAAATATAAAGGGGCTGAATTTCACCCCATCTGTCTCTCTAGTGTTAAAGTTCCCGTCTTAGTGAGATGTTCGCAAGGGTAGTATAGAAGAAAAAAAGAGTATTCATGCAGAAAAATAAATTTATGAAATGTATAACCGTGTGCGCCATATAGCCCTTGGCGGTTGAATTGGTGGCTCCAAACCACCAATTCTTATTATGTACCAACAAAATGCGTCGCAAACCATTAGCCAGCCTGATACAACAAAAAAAAAAAATAATAATGATTACCAATAACAACCCTACGAATATAGCTACATTTTTTAAACAAGCGTTGTCTACGCTGACAAACACGTGCGAAGACGTTCACAAGATTTTATTTTTTAAAAAAGGAAATCAATTCACCGTATGCAGTTTCGAAAAATAGGATAACATGCAATTTATGGCAATTTTTATACAAATCTCATAAGTCTCGAGTTAGCTAACCCGTGTACTACTCATATTATGAAAATGATTCAAGCCTTCTTAGCTGACATTTTCGGACACTTTTCTAGATAAGAGTAACAAGAAAAAACTAGTTAGAAGGCTGAAAGATATATTCGATTTACTAATATAACATTCTAAAAAATATTCGCATCTATCACAGAAGGAATAGACATATATTCTTTAACATTTGACGCAGAATTTCTATTAAATATATTTTTCATTATTTTGTATTAATTCAGATCAAAATAAGCGAAGAATATTATATTTAGCATTTTAATAATTTATGGTTATGAAATACAGCATTAAAGGTAAAATCATTCAAACACGACTCACTTCCAAACAATATTTTTTCAAATTTGCAGTTATTTAGATCAAATTAAAGTAGTTATTCATCATTAAAATTTCCTTAATTTGCAAAATGAATTATTGATAAATTTTTGAACATGAACGAAAGAAAATTCAAACTACCTTTTCTGGATTTTATATTTTAGTACAAATATAATTGCAATATACTATCAGACTTATTCTAGTGACTATAAGACTGTTTTTTATCATTAAAAAATACCAAAATACGTTTTTTCTTGTAATTAGAGTATCAAAATATATGTATATAACGTATATATTTTTTAAAAAATATACATATATATGTCAAAGGGTNAATTTAATGTGTATATATATATATATATATAAAAATATAATATAATATAATTCCCATAATCTAGCATATTTTTTATTAACAATCAAACTGTTTTTTATATTTAAATAATATCAAAATATATTTTTGCTTGTAATTAGAACGACAGGGAAAAGAAAAATTAAATAAATAGGGCACCGATATATAATAAAAATTTATATTAATATGTAGATAATACAAAATAATTTATATTGCGTCGTATAGCATTTTGTTTAAAAACTATAATTAAAACATTTTTAAATCTCCTATTTGAGAGTTTGAAGCTTTTGATAAAAATAATCTGAATTGTATTAGAAATGCAGAAAAAACTTATTGAGCACAAATAAAATTTGTTAAAAGATAAACTGCCGCTTCAATCTAAGAAACTTTTTCGTTTTGGCTCTGATAATGATATGTACGTACTTCTTTTGTTTATTGTATTGACACGGCTGAACTATTTTTACTTGTATTTGTTACGTTATTTCCTGTGTTTCCTATTCCAAACTCTAAGATAATTCTAATTTTTCCATATGATCTCATCTTTAGCATAAGTTATTTTAACCACTTTGACGCAGGTGGACACTGGTATCCTTTATATATATGTATATATATTTTTTCTTATGCTCTAATTACAAGCAAAAATATGTTTTGGTTATAAAAAACACGTTAATAGTTACTAAAAAAATCTGTTCGATTACCGGAATTATATTTGTATTAAAAAATAAAATCCAAAAAAAAGTAGTTCGAAAAAAAAATTGTTTTCATCCATATTCAAAAATTTATCAATCATTGATTTTGTAAATTAAAGAAATTTCAATGGTGAATGACTTGCTTCTCTTAGATTTAAATAAGTGCAAATTTGAAAAATTTTTGTTTGGAAATGAGCTGTGCGTCGTGCTTTGAAAATTTTACCTTTAATGTAGAAGAAAACACCAGTGTTTCAAACTGTATTTCATAGCCATTAATTATTAAAATGCTAAATTTATTTTTTTTATATTTATTTTGATAATGAAAAAAATATGAATGATATGTGGAATATAAATTATGCTTCAAAGGGATGCTGCATTAAATTAAACCAATAATTTAATGATGCCATGCTTAAATTTTAATTTTAAAGTTCGTTCTCAAATGTAATGAAATGTTATTTCCTGCTGTAATCTTAAAAGAAAAAAAATGCGCCGTTCCTTTATAAATTTTAGGATCGCATAAAAAAATATATATAGATTTATTTTGAATGTTTTGAATGTTTTTTTTTTTATTTATTAGAGGAAAAATAATTTATTTTAACTTATTTCAGACTACAGAAAATTAAAAAAAATTGAATGTGTAATTGATAATAGTATGTTAATTCAAAAACTAACTTACTATTTTGTTTTAAACAAATTTACTGTTAATTATACAGAAAAAGAAGAGCCAGCTTTAGGTTAATTACGGTGTAAATAATGCCAGACGCATGTCTGTTAACGAACTGACTGAGCATCATTAAATGTTAGTAAAACGTCAAGAGACTAATCTCTTCACGAAAAATCAGTTGTTAAAAATGATATTGAATAGTCGTGATCACAGATCATTGTAGGGATTTGTCAGTTCTAATGCTAAAAAAAAAAAAACTCTCAGACTAATGGAAAGCTATAGAGATATCAATGATATAGAGAGTTTAAAATTTATTATCAAAGCTTCAGTAAAATGAAGTTGACGTATAATGATTTATAAAAAAAAAAATATCCAGGGTGCCCACCGGCAAGTATGGTGGTCAGGAAGCTGACCTTAAGTCAGAAAGGTCCCGTATTCGAATTTCGGATAAGACGTGGATCTTCTTTCCTTTTCTTCTCTGAACTATCTGCCCTTACTGTGGGAGCAACGATGGCCCACCCAATATAGTGATACAATACCTACCTTTCTGATACCCGAATGATGAAAATCAATATACTGGTGGGCATTGAAGAAAAAAAAAAAACAAATCCGTGTTTGATGTACCAGTTTTTGGGTTGTGGGTTTTTGTTAGAAACTAATTGCTGTTTGACATTACGCTGTTGTCTCTTATTAACTGTTTTTGAAATTGAAATAAAGAAAAATTTTACAATTTTAAAAAATATATATATACATAATTTCTTTTAATGTTTCAGATTCAGAAAAATAATGCATTCCTTTCATGTGGCATTGATATTTGCCAGCACAATATTGCTTTTTATATCTAAAGGAAGTTGCCGTAAGTAAGAAAAAAGAGTATATATATATATATATATATATATAACTTAATGTTATCTCTAACAATTACCTTTAACTTTTCTTCGTTTCTTCGGACAATCAAACTAGTTTTGTAGTTTTTTATTCCACTTTCTTCTTTAATCATTCCTTTGTTTTCTTAGGTTTAAATATTAATTTTCAAACTCCAATCACTCTAATTTCTTACCTTCATGTTTTACAAGGATTCTAATGAGATACAATTCGGGTGGTGAATACGGAACACCTTGCATAAACCAAACAAACGTATATTTATGTATAAAAAAGACTACTGCTAATGAAATAAATGTTGAGCGTACGTTTCTTCTGAATTATGAATACTGACCATTCCTGCTAGTTAATAAAAAATATAACTTTTAAGGAAAGTTAATTAGTTTCATAATTTATTTGTAACAATTCGAAATATTTTCAGTAAAACAAAAGCTTTATGGAAATGCATAGTTCAAGAATTTTTCAGGTGGCATCAAATTTAAATAGCTCGCAAGATCTTACATATTATTTGAATAATGTATTTAATATTTAAAATTATAATTCCGAGTGAAGGCGATAATAATTTTACATTTTCTAATTGCTTGAGGGACATATTCAAAGCAATAAGATTCGTGATCTAATTGCCAGAGTACAGATGATTTAAATTATCTATTTATACCCCAGGGTAATTTTACGACTCCATTTAAGAGTAATATATCCATAATTGTCGCAACCATACTAGNCAATTAATGTGCAACAGATATCTAATTGTTAAGATATAAAACTTTAAAAACGTTGGTATTAAAACTTACATAGTAGGGCACAAAATGTTCAATGACAAAATTGAGGTTTGCTTGCTGCAACCACCAGAGAATAGATATTTTACATTTCAAATTTAAAATTTACAAATGTGTGTGTAAATATTTTCGTCCAAAATGAGTGGTTTCAAAAAGTTAAATCGGAGAATTTCTTCGAGAAAGTTTCTGATACACACATGCTAAATTATATTCACAAAATACAAAAAAATGAAATGAAAAAGAGCAACATACACGATTATTTTTGTATTTGAATAAATATTTTCTTGGATGCAAAACCTGAGAAATAATTTTTTTTGCACCGTTGGTATGATAAATTTCACAGAAACGAAGAAATTACGTTTTTATTAACGAGAAAAGTATTTTAAACCCATATAGATTTTTTACGAAAATTGTCAGCAAAAAAATGACTAATATATTTTAGTTCGCGGGCCACAAAAAAAAGCTTCGCGGGCCGGATGCGGCCCCCGGGCCGCCAGTTGGAAACCACTGCTCTAAAGCAATCGATTGAGCTATATTAAAGGTAGAAGACTTGCAGCCCTTTGTTGAAAAATTCATTAAGCGTTTGAGTCTCTGCATCGCTGCAAAAGACGGCCACTTTAAAACTAATTAAATTTATTTATGAGTAAAAGTGTATTTTTATTATTATTTCTTTTATTTTGTTTAGCTATTTATTTTTAACTAAAAATACATTAAAAATTGTTTGTCTGCTTTTTTTTCCTTCCGCAACCTGTAGTTCAAATTCATTTGTTCTAACTTATTGTAATTTACAAGGAGAAAAAATGACAAGTTTAAAAATATACAAGTTTATAAAAAAATACAAGTTTAAAAACTAAAACTTTCTTCCCAAGAAATTTCGTCGCAAAAGTCTTCTGATTATAAGTTTTTGGAACTTTTATCAGTTTAAATGTTTTTTTTTTCCATTTCCATTTAATAAATGTAAAAACTTTTCCGACTGCTCAAGTCTGTATTGCATACTAATCGTTTTGTTACTCGTAGACAGCTAGTGAGAAGTGGACGAAATAACCATAATTTTCCTATGAACCATAGGGTTACATTGTCTCAATAAATAAATAAAAATTTCATGAAAACTAAGGTATGAATATGTCCTTCAATGGTTATTTTTATAACATAAATAGAAATAATATGAATTACTTGCCTGAAATTAGTATCACCTTCACGGATCAAAAATCTCTAAGTTATTGGAATTGCTTGCTCAGCGTTCACTTAACAAACTATTTTTCTATGATAAACTATCACTAAATGGCTAAAATTTGCCCCAAGTTTGCAAGCATTAAAAGACCCTTGTTATTTATAGAGCCCTCAAAGAGCAATAAATAATTGCTCTTTGAATGAGCAAGATAACTGCAGTTGATGATGAATATTTGTGTGGATAGCTATATAATGATGCAAATAGTAGTTGTTTCATCAGTATTTGAAATTTCTAAAAATACTTTTCACCAAAAAACCCAAAAATTGTGTGTTTATTTCTTTTTGACATTGAATTATAAAATATGTTCTATTTTTACGTCGCTAGTTTAAATTTTAAAAAAATGTCCTCCATATTTAATAAGTCTTAAAGTTTCTGAAAAAAAAATCTTTTTATTAATTGTTCATTATAAAGAGATTTCTAAGCCTGAGAATAATATATGGGTTGATCCATAATGACTTCTCTTGATAATATGTAAATAAGAAGTAAAAAAATATTCACATTTCTGGTCACAAATTAAATAATTATGGAAAAAAATTGTTTCTAACTATGACTAATTATTATTGAGTTTAGGAAGAGCAAAGAAGGAATTAAAATAATCAAAATCAAGTTTATTTTCTAGTGATAGTGGATTGTTTTATCTAAGAACAGTCTTTAAGCTCTTTCCTCAAGTAAACTAGATTTAGATAACTTTTTAAATTTCAATACAACTTTTGCTCTGATATACTTCAGTGATTGGTCATGTTTCGAAAACGATTTTGTTCTTTCTCATACAATTATTAATTTTCAACTCTTGATGTGCATTGTTATTTATTTGACATCAATCATTAATGGAGTTTAAAAAATAACGATAATTACAGTAATTAAAAACACATAAGTTAAGAGAAATGTTGAATATGTAACCATTATGATTACTGTGCTCAAACTTACAAAATAAATTTTTTTTTTCTCTAGTTAGTATATTTGACGAGGATGATGATGAAGTTGAAAGAGGAGATAAATTTATAGATGATCTTCTCAAAGACATGTTTCATGAAAGAGGTCATGAATATGATCCATACAAGTTAGAAGATAGTCGAATCGCTTTTAGTAAAAAGGTTATGTTTGTAAATGTTTCAGGAGAAGCTAAATTGCATAATGGTTACATAGAAGGTCTTAAATCGTTGCATCGTCCAGATCATTGTTCTCTAAAAGAACAAGATGATAGATTGCGTGTATCAGCAGATTTAGGAGCTGGAATATTAGATTTTTATTATGATGGCACAGTAAAATTTATGAATTGGGGACCAACCATAAGATGCCATGGAGAAGTCGCATATGTTGAAACCCACATGGAATTTACTGTTGATGCAAAAACAGGAAAAGGTGGAAAGCTAACAACATTTACTATTGATGACATGAAAGGAATGAAAGTTTCAATTACTGGTCTTGGTCCACTAAATTGGGTTTTGAATTATATGGTAAGTGGTGTGACTTCTTTGTTCAAGGGATATCTAAGGGGTCTGTTGGAAAAACAAGTGAGAAATCATATTGCAGAAAGATTGCCAAACTATCAATTTCCTGTTAAAGGAGTTGATCCCACTCAACCTCCAGAATCAACCCTTCAGCCTGAGACAGAACCAGAGCCTGAGACAGAACCAGAGCCTGAAACAAAGCCAGAACCTGAAACTGAACCAGAACCTGAAACTGAGCCGGAACCTGAAACTGAACCGGAACCTGAAACTGAACCAGAACCAGAAACTGAACCAGAACCAGAAACTGAGCCAGAACCTGAAACTGAGCCAGAACCTGAAACTGAACCGGAGCCTGAAACTGAACCAGAGCCGGAAACTGAACCAGAGCCAGAAACTGAACCAGAACCTGAAACTGAGCCAGAACCTGAAACTGAACCAGAACCTGAAACTGAACCAGAACCTGAAACTGAACCAGAACCTGAAACTGAAGCAGAAGGTGATTCAAATTAAAAACTGTCATCTACGGAAATTTATGTAGGAAAATGTTGATAGTTATCATTTTTCATTAGGACAAACTGCAACTATCATACTTTTCTTTCGAAATTACTTTTAAAAAACTTGTTACTGAAAGTATTGTACTGTATAAAGCGAAATTATCACAGTATCAAATTAAATTTACCTCAGTTCAAATGCTAAATAAATTTCTGTATTTATAAATTGACTGTTTTGTCTAATGCTTAATAATAAATCATATATACTTCATTATTTCTTAAAACGGTGCTGTGACATGGCAATGTAAATGGTTTTTAGCATACAATCATTAAATAATACTTACTGATAATTTAGGGCCTGTAAGTGTTAAACATGTATTTATATTTCTATAGAACATTGAAATTAATTTTTAAATATCTCACATACTCATGCCTAAAAGCTAAGGAACAAACATATAGTCGCGGATAATTCGAGAAATAGTGAACTAAATCAAAAATAATTTTATATGTAACTACACCAAGGTATGAGAAAAACGGTAATAGTAAAAAGGCAGTTATAACTACGATGATAAAGGATCATATTAATAACAACTCAAAATCATAAGTTATCGGGCATTACAACAACATAAACGAAAAATTATATAACAAAATGGCTTTATGGTGGGTTTTATATGAGATATGATACCTCCTGATGGAAATGAAGGTCAATTTTCCAGAATAATATCTAAAAGTAAAGTAAACCTCGATAATTTTAAAATAGATTATAATTTCTTTTATTATCTCAAGCGAATTAAAGATCAGGAGAAACCGAAAATTTTAAATATCTTCCTGACCAACAACTTTGACCATCAATTAAAAAAATCAATCCTTAAAATAAAATTGAGGAATATTGTCTTAAATAAGTTTTAAGAGAACTTCTTCAATTATAAAAGACTCAAATAATTTCACTACTCAACTTTTATAGATAACACTGTATACATGTTAAATAGTTAATAAATACACATGAATTATTGCATTTGACATTTCGAAAAGAAGAAAAAAAAATTCGAAACTCACCAAGAAAGAGACAAGATGGCTCGAGGGAAAGTATTTTTCAGTGATGAGCTCAAGCAAAACTCTTTATGATTTCCTCTTTATGATTTCCTCTTCATGATTTCGTTTGAAATCTGAAGTTGCGCTTCTCAGTGGTTTCTTATTAATAATTCTTAAAAAAAGAACCCCCCCCCCAGAAAATTTCCACAGAAAGAGTGAGTGAGTGATGTAAATTTTCAGCGCAAGAGCCATGATTTGGCTATACAGCGCCTGCAACTATGTTAAAAGTTTATATAACTTAGTTAAAATTTAATCATTAGGTTAAAATTTATAAAACTTGGTTAAATTCCAAGCACAAGGTTAACGCTTTAACTTTTTCTTGATTACAATAAAATATGAATTTTAAAAAATTTACTTTTGTCTTGATTATTCCGTTTTAAATATCATTTCTTTTTGAAAAGAAAAAGATGCACGATTTCTTTTTAATTAATTAAAATGGCACTATAAAATTTCCTCGTTATTTATATTACAATTTAAATTAAAATCAAACATAACTTAGAATATTTTCAGTGTTTGGTTGCTAACAAGCAAACGGTGAATGGTTTTTGAGCAAAAAGAGAAAGGGGCAATATGTGTCAGTCAACCCCAAGAGGGGGGCAATGGTTCACAAAAGGTTGGGAACCACTGGTCTACACTAATGCACTAACTAGCATATATGAGATCTCCCCCTTGAACCATTAAGATTAAGTTTTAGTAAGTGAAGATCCGATCACAGGTTCAAAGGCTGTTCAAAGCAATTAATTTTTTATTTAATTATTAATTTTTGTCACTGAACATACCTTTAACACTAACTCAGAAATTTTTAAAATTCTTTTCAAAGTTGACGAACTTCAATGTCAGCCACCTGCATGTCAACTAATCAAATGCTGTATTATAGAAATTTATGATAATTAAGGATTATACTTCAAGGAAAAAGTTCGCTAATATAAATAGTTTTGAAATATGAAAAAAATTAAAAAATATTCATATTTGGGACAGAAATTAATATTTAAGTGAAAGAGAATTAAACACGTTATCATTATAATCTGCGAATCACTATTCAGGAAAGTGAGATAAAAAGCATCAAAAACAGTTAAATTGCTGGATAAAACAGGGATGTGCCTCAAATTATCGTCTTTTAGTTCTTCTCTGCTGCCCCTTGCAATTAAACAGCCTTTGAAGTTTTCAATCCCACCTTTCCCAGTAGGAATTTGTTTGATTTCGATAGTATTTTAGTTTGTTCCTAGTTTAAATATTAGTTTCTAACAACAATATTCTAAACATGAGTATTAAAGATAGACTTTTGTATACTTCTTAGTTATAAAAACTGATACTAATTGCTAAAACTATGGTTCAAAAAATTATTGTTTTGATAAAATTGACATAGTTGAAAATGTTAAGGTTCGTTAACAATTTTAATAATAAAAAATAGTTTAAAAATAATTAAACAGCTTGGTGCGGTGAGAACTGCATTGCCATCTTAGGGAGGTCCATACATTTTATTAATACCTCCACAAGTGCTATTTTACTGAACCATTTTTGGACTATCTTGCTTTGATGATAATTAGCTCACGATCTTGAGTTTAGGTCATAACTTTTTGTTATCCTTGGTTTTTTCATGCTTGATGCATTTTCATATAAAATTTAGCCTGATTTGGTTATCCTCAAAACAATGTGCTTATTCCTTAATTTTTGGACATGTCCAAACGAACAATAATTTAATCCTTCTATCCCTTCTTTAAACAATTTTAATACTGTTTGTCTAAGATAGGTACTCTGACCGCCACTAAGTCTGTGGCAGTCTGGTGCTATGGAAACAAGAAGAGGGCATTTTAAGGAGGGAAGCTTCGATAAAAGAGGTCTCTTCTCTCGCCGAAACCAGTCCTGAAGAGGGATCCCGCATCCCTACTTGAAATTATCATACCTCGTTACCATAGTCACCGCCACAGCTCCAGACGAATGTCTGGCAGAGTACCTATTTAAGACAAACAGTACATGAAACTTAAAGAAAAAAATATTTAGAATATGATTTAGAGTACACTTATATCAATAACAACTGGACTATTATCAAAATGAATTTTGTTCAACTACTTTTTAGTATATACTTTGATATAATAAAATAAGTAAAATATGAAAACTCTCCTAGCGTATTCAGTTTTTTTTATACCATTCATCATCGCTATTCATCATTGAAATATTTTCAATTTACAAAATCAATTATTGATAAATTTTTAAATATGAGTGAAATTTTTTTTTCTTTCTTGGATTTTATATTTTAGTTCAAATATAATTCCGATAATCTGAGAGATATTTTTTTTATTACTGTAAGATTGTTTTTTATAATTAAAATATATATGTTTGCCTGAAATTACAGGGCAGGAAAAATAAAAGTGACATCGGTAAAAAAATATCATCTGCGTCAAAGGCTTAAAAAAAAGGGTAAAGATTGAAAGGTTAAAAAAGGCTGCGTAAAAGGTAAGCTAAAACGATTTCTATTGGTCTGAACATAGTAATTTGTTTAATTAAAAAAGGAAAATTTTATATATATTTTTTCATAAAGCATTTTAATTAACGTTAGTAAAACACAAGTGTTAGATTAAGTGCAAATAACTGTATCTGATAAAAATTTAAAAAACGTCACCCCTCCAACGTTGCCCTCATAAGCACATTTAAATTACTAAGATTTTCTGATTTTAATCTAGTTCTTCAGACCCTGAACCTTCAGTAAACCTACAGAATGCTGGCAGGCAGATTTTTGAGTTAATTATAAAATTCCTTTACTATTATTCATTTATTATTATTCTGTCACTCATGGAAATGATTTTAAAATTTCAGCCTTTTAACTTTCAATGTATCACCAGTATTCCAATGGAAATAGTTTTAGTTCAAAGAAATATTAGATAAGGTTATAATAAAATAGAAGAGTAAAGTTCTGGCAAAAAAGAAGTTGGTATATTGCAGGGTAAAACAATCTCGATATTTTATGGAAATAAAAAAATGTTTGCATTCAGATAGTACGATGCTTTGAAGTTTTGCATAAAATTAATAAAATGCTACTTAAGTTAATAGCTTTTCTTTTATATATATATATATCATAGCTATAAAATCTA